GGAAGGAAGGAAGGAAGGAAGGAAGGAAGGAAGGAAGGAAGGAAGACAGACACAGTTGGCCAACAGATACATTAAAATGATATGCAGGATCACTGCCAATCAGGGAACCAACAATTAAAACCACAAAAAAATCTTGTCTTCCAGTTATTATCAAATGATGAAAGAAAGCAAGTGTTGGCGAGGCCTTGGTGAATGGATATTGTATATACTGTTGTGGGAATGTATAAGCCATTGTAGAAAAACATGAGAGCTCTTCAGTACCAGCCACCTACTTCTTCAGTCTAACACTCTTCCAGCTGAACTATTTCAGCCTTGAGCAACTTACTTCTAATGTCTATCTTTAGCAAATAAAATCAACATCCTGAATAGAAACATGCGTACCTCCATTTTAACTGAAACCCTATTTAGGATGGCTACAATATGAAGAAAAAATTAAGAGTCCATTGTTGGATGGATGGGTGCATGGATGGATGGATGGATGGATGGATGGATGGATGGATGGTTGAGTAGGTGGGTGGGTGGATGGATGGATGGATGGATGGATGGTGGGGTGGGTAGATGGATGGATTGGATGGGTGAGTGGATGCAGAAAAATACAAATGGATAATAGACCATTATGAACACTTGAAAGAAGGGTGCCTATCTTTTGAGTAAGCACTGGTGACACTGGAGGCTGAGTAAACTGAAGCTGAAATAAACAAATACTGCATGATCTACTAACATGAGCAATATGAGATTAACATATAAAGGCAGACAAGACATTGCCTCAGAGGCTACAGCAGGAAGAAAATAGTGGAGACAGTGATTTAAAGGTCTCTCAACTTCAGTCAGAAGAGAATGAATAAACTCAGGAAATTCCCCAAGACATTTGAAACGTTTTCACCAACAAAGAGTGAGGATTATACAAAATGACACATTTGTTAGTTTGTTTGAATGTGACAATAAACTCACCGTGTGTGTGTGTGTGTGTGTGTGTGTGTGTGTGTGTGTGTGTGTAAGACTTCACATTATATGCTCCAAATATAAAGTTGTCAAATACACCTTATACAGCTACATAAAATATATTTCAACTCCATATAAACTTTATTCCAGCAGGGATTGCTAACTACTTTGCTCATTGTCCTATGTCAGTGGCATGTGCAATCCCTGACCGTGACATGTGCAACCCTTATGTCAGTGGCATGTGCAATCTAATCCCTATGTCAGAGCCATGATAATTCACAAGCAGCAGAATCTCTATAAATGTTGACTACATAAATACAAAAATATGAAGTATAAACCACAAAAAAAAAAAAAACTTGGTTTGACATTTCCACTGGTGTCAGCCTTTCCTATGCACTTTGACAAATTTGACCAGAGACTCTGGCATGGTTTCAGAGGTTTATCCAGCTACGCACTTTTAGTCTTTTGAGGGGACTCAGCAGGAGACGAAAGGTGTGTCTCTTGTGCTGTATCTTCCTGGGCATGCTCTTCCAGGACCGCTGACCTTCCTGCGCCTTCCAAATAGTCTGTCAACAGACATTTCTGAGGTTATGCCATTGAATTCATGTGTGTTCAAATTCAAGAGCTACCACAAATACATCCCAAGTTCTTAAAGAAATAAAGTAAACAGAAACTGAAACAAGCCCAAAAAATTCATGATAAGCTATTAGCTTAATAAAACATTTAAATAGAAACATTGTTTCCTTAAAGATAAACATGTCTGTTGAAGACAAAAGCATCCCTTAATACTTGTTAAATACTTTGTTTGACGATTTAAAATTCCCCTAAAAGATGTTCTAAACAGATGTGATCAATAAAACTGAGACATTCAATTCGAATGCAACCAACCTCTTGGACAGCAGGAGTGAATGAATTGAACAGTGGTGTTGCGAGCTCAAAAGATAAGCACAATACTCACACTAAATTTCATTTATACACAGAAGGAGTACTCGTTCCTGTCACTCTTGAAATAATGTCCTACATGCAACCTATCCTTTACTTTTTTCTTTTTTCTTTTTGTTTTTGGCAGAGCTATAAAAAGAGCAGCATGGTTCTAAATGCTATAAGCTATTTAAACCTCACAAAGCTGATTTGTTCACTGTTACCAGCTCAGTTTGTTTGGGTCTGTGTATTTGGGGGGGGGGTCGCTGTTATATTTGAAATTTGAGACAGGAACTCTTTACATAGCCCAGGCTGACCTTGAACTTGTGAACTTCCTGGCTTAGCATCATGAGTTCTGAGATCACAGGCACGCACCACCATTCCCAGCTCTGTCTCAATTTTAAAGGTGACAACTAAAAAGAGGAGTGTGACTAGCTTGTTCCACTACTACCTGGTGGAGCCAGACAGAAAGGGGACATGAAAACATGCCGCTTTTGTCTTAATCATAAGGGACAGTGATAAATGTCAAAGAACATTCAGCCTGGATGGCACAGGAAGAACAGGCCGGGCACAGAACATGTTTAATAAGACAGCAGCTGCACCATCTAAATGTTCAGCACTTATGTAAGATGGAAGCCTGTATCTCCACAGATGCCAAAATTCCAAGATTCAGCTACAATTGTGGATTTTGAAAGAAAAAAAACTGTTGACAGCTAATTTGGATCTTATGGAAGCAGTGCTGGTAAAATATGTATGGTCTAAGTAAAAATACAGCTGTACTATACCAAAAGTATCGAGTCCATGGAGGGCTAGTTTATAGCTTTCTTCTAAAGGATGAAATCAGATCTCCCACTGAGTTTCATTGCTTGTATTTTTTATTCAGAAAGAATCTGCTTCATAAGAATCTGTGTTGTAACATCACCCAGTTGTCACCCTTAGAATAGGTCAGACCAAAGGACAATTTTCCAAGGCAAATTTTCTACTAGAAAATTCTCAAATTTTTCTAAAGAAAGCAACCTGAAGAACTGTATCCTAAAAACTTTCTGAAGCATGAAGTGACTATGTAAATTGAACCACGACTTTATGAAAGCTTGTGAGTTGCAATTATGGGTATGATAAATTGGCTTTCCTTCAATACCAACCTTTTCATTTAATTTAAAAGTCACAGCGACTTGACATCCAAGAAAAGAAAAGAACATAAGGTATTTTCCAATGTGATGAAATAGTCAAAGATGTCCTAATATGCCCCAATGCAAATTGGCACACATAATCAACCTTGGCCTTTAAGAGAGTAGACAGTTTGCTCCTACAGAATAGTTTTAACATTGAGCTGGCGTAATATGTTTAAAAATTCTAAAATTACATCTTGCCCCATTTTAGTAAGAAAGTTTTATTTTACTTTCTCTGAAAGATATACACAAACTTCAAGGTTTTTTTAAAGTTCAGTTAAAGGCAAAAGTCTAACCTCAAATAAAAGTCCCTTGAGGGTAGAAGATAGATAATCACCAGGTACACTACCTTTTAGCTTTTATTCAACTTGATTCAATTAGGATTTATAAGAAAAGTCATAGTTGGATTCTCCAATTCATCCAGAGGTATTCTGACCTGTGTTTAGCTTCTTGATTGACAACAAACCTCTAGGGGCCTAAACTCCTTATGAAGGTTTTAGAAACCAGTTGGAGAAAAGCACAATGACCATTTTGATCTATTTATCTTATTTTGTTTTTGTTGACATATATGTTTCCACAGCTCCATCTGGTTTTAATTCACACATTTTCTTAGAAAATGATGTTGTAAGAAAAGTCTCAACTGTCTCCATGCCCCCCGAATACTGCACTTGTGGCCCATCTACATACATAAGAAGAAGCAATCAACATTCTTTCAGCCAATAAACTGTGGCTGTTGTCATTTAAACATTCATGTACTATGTCTGCAATTCATCACAGGATAGAAACATGAGTGTTAGCAAATACCATCTACCAGGACTTCAGTGTCTCTCATGTGCTTGTTGATACATGACTTAGCTACTCTGTGAGCTACTCTGTGGTCATAGGAATCAGACAAAATTATAGAAAATCTCTGAAAAATCTTAAGGTATTACTCAAAGAAAAAAATAATATTTAGACATTACCAATTCATATAGCCTTTTCACTTTAAGCTACCACTATCCATATTTACTACACGGGTTTCTTAAAACATTTGTTATTATCAAGCAGTAAATAAAAACATTTTTATACTGAGCAAACAGAACTAAAACATTTTAATGAATTTTTATGTAGCTTAAGATATGCTGGAAAAAAAAATGTAACTGATTATCTAATTCAACATTAAGCACTAAATCAAAGCCCCAAATAAAAACTCTGACAGCTTCCATTTAATCTTGGCTGTAAGGCAAAGTCACCCATCACTCAGTATTGTTTACCTTGCAAGAGCGTTGCAATCTGGAGAGACTTCTGAGACGGGTGCTCTTTCAGAATGTCTAAGACAGTTCTACCTAAACTGTCCTTTATGTTGGCATCAATTCCTGCAGGAAAAAGAAAAAACTAGATGTACTACTGGAGTGTCCTCAGATGATACTGACGATATGTAACTGTTCTAATTTCAAACACATATAGGCCAAGCACTGAAGGTGATTTAAAAACTAAGTTACCCACATAAGATTTTAACAAGAGAGGAGGCAGGGCGGGTCAGTAGTGGCCCATGCCTTTAATCCCAGCACTTGGGAGGCAGAGGCAAGTGGATTTCTGAGTTCGAGGCCAGCCTGGTCTACAGAGTGAGTCCCAGAACAGCCCAGAGACACACAAAGAAACCCTGTCTCGAAAAACCAAAAGAGAGGAGGTGGGGAGAGAGAGAAGGCAGGGGCCTAATGTTACTAAAAAACTGGAAAATTCTGGATAATAAATCAACTCTTAAAGTTCTCTGACACAATCGTAAAGATTTCTTTTCATGACCCCTGGGTACCTTCTGGGTTGTAGCTCATAAACTAAATAAAGAGTCTACTATCAAAGTAAAAAATATGTTTTACTTATCATCTGAAACCCCAACGTGGGATGGCCAGGTGATCTGTATGTTGTGCATAGTACAATTTTAAATTTTTAATAAATGAAAATCATATGGAACACAATATAAGGATACTCTTAGAATATTTGAAATTAACAAATCTGAAAAGGTATAATTATTTCAAGGGTCTACACACTATGACTTCAGATATTCCTGTTTATCTGAAGTGAACATTTCAGATGAACAGGGATATCGTCACTGCCAGCCAGCCACATTGGCTATTTAAACAAACCTGCTGAACTGTGCAGCTGAAACACCTCTGCTATGTTTTAGTTCTAAAGTTATGTGCCGTAATAGAGAACTTATTTTAATGAGAGGATGACTTTCCATAATTCTAATTCAACTCACAAGACTTCCTGATTGCAAACAAAGCCAATGCATAGGATTTTATCCCAGATGTTAGTTAACCATACGATTATTAAATACTTGCTTAAGCTTATGTGAGAATGTATAGTATATATTTAATAATTTATATATTTAACTGGTTTTCTTGTGTCATCTGTTCTATCATTGGGCTGCATGTCAAAATTAAGTAATATGAAATTTTAACATACGGTAAGCAGGACAACAGCATGATGGTATGCCCATGTTTTTCTTTCACAGAGCAAATTAAACATACTACACTACAGAACATGACTTATGTCAGCTGTATACAGTAATAATTTGTACTCCTAGCTTCTGATTCTTAAAAAAATCTGTCCACAGTTTTGACTTTATCTCATTTTGATCAAAATATGCATAAAAGATAAATAGGCCTACTTTGCTTTTCCTTAAAAATATTCTCTCTAAAATATTCCTTTTAAAAATGAGCCCCTGTAGCCAATGAGCAATCAGAAGGAGACGAACATGTCCTAAGAAAAGGGGCTGCAAATCTCTGTTGGCTATAGGTCACAATGTAAAAGACCAACAAACCACATGGCTACCATAACTCTTTGGGGGCTGATTCCTCTGTTTTGCTGAAATAGGAGGTTTTCCCTTTCCTCTTGGTAGTTTTCCCCCAGCTCACTCAAATATTTCTATCAGCTGTATCAAGGCCCACTTCCACATGGTATGAATACCTATCTCAGTTGGAGAAAAGGGTCACTTGTGAAGAAAGCCACCATTTTCCTCCCTCTAACCCTGAGACAGACAGCCGTAGTACCTGGCAGGGCCGCTCCATGGAGACCCATGATAACTACCTGTTTCCAACAGAACTCGCACCACGTCCACCTTCCCGAACAAAGCCGCTTCGTGAAGAGCACTCCCCTTTTCTGTCTGAAAAGAAAAGAGAAAGAAAAGGCCTAGCTGCATTCGGAATTCATGCAGATTTGCAAGCATTTAGGTGCTCATACAGATTTTCTACAATCCTGGAGCTCTGTGTCAGAGAAGCTGTGAACGCGTGTGTGTGTGCGTGTGCGTGCCTGTGGTGTGTCAGAGGTGGATGTCCAGGAACAACATCTGGAGACCTGTGTTTGGAAAGCATCTCTGCTTCTGGATAGTTACGTTATATTAAGGAAGCGACTCACCTTCTCTTTGCTTCAATCTTGCTCAAGTATCAACTAAGAGTGCGAATGCCTATTACACAGGGCTTTGTGAGTGTCTATTATACACATTATTAAACCCATAGAGTAAACGCAGTTATAAACACAGAACTATCATCTGGGACCTTGCATATTCCCAGTACACTTAAGAAGACAAATGTGTAAGTAGGCATTTATGCTGAAGGAATTCTAAATGGTTTAAAGTGGCATCTGCTTTCTTCTGCATACCCCTAAACCTCTGGCTGACCCATATTCTATGCTCCACTGGCCTGGGTCATTTGGCACACTGACCTTATTCTTTATCAACACTACTGCTGTTCTCTGCACTTCTCTCCATGGATCTCAAAGGCCCATTCCTTTACTGGCAGGTCCAGCTCCCAGCCCTCTAGATCTGGATACACGCAACTGCTTGTTTTCAATGGTCAGCATGAATCTTAATCACTAGGAAACACAATTGTGAACCACAATTCTACCCATGCATAGTATAGTGACACATTCCTGTAATCCTAGCATTTGGGAAACTGAAGGAAAAGGTTAGCCCAAGTTCAAAGGCAGCCTGGATTACACAGTGAGCTCAAGGCTAGTTTGGGACACACAGTATGACCCGTGACCTTATCTTATATAAAATAAAGGACAATGGGACTGGAAAGAACAATGGCCACTCTTCCGGATAACCTCGGTGGGATTCCTAGTATGCTCATGGAAGCTTGCAACCCTTGTAAGTCTAATTCCAGAGCATCTGATATCCTCTTCTGTCCTTCTCAGACACAGCACACACATGGCACACAGATACGCATAAGCAAAAGACTCACACACATAAAATAATTTTTTAAAAAATGGGGAAAGGAAGGAAGGAAGGAAGGGAGGGAGGGAGGGAGGGAGGGAGGGAGGGAGAGATACAGGCTGGTGGAGGGAGAGGGCGAGGAAAGGAAGAGAGAAGGAGGGAGGGAGGGAGGGAGAAAAAACGGAGGTACTAGGTACAGACTGATGGAGGGAGGAGGTGAGGGAAGGAGGGAAGGCAGAAGAGAGGAATGGGGAAGAGTAAAGGTGGAAGGAAGGAGGGATAAATGGGGAGGGAAGGGGAAAGGGATGGACTGATATTGGAAGGGAACCAGAGAAGGCGAGAGGGAGGGTGGGTTGGAGAGAATCGAAGAGACAAAAGGGAAGACTCACTCATTAGTTGTCTGGATCCCACTTCCTGTTTTTACTTCTGTGGCCAGAAAGGACAGGTTCAAAAATTCCAATTTCTTCCATGTCCCTATGATGCTCAGTGTCTTAAGGGTCTTTATTTTGAGATCCACTAACTATATTACACAAAGAACCTTAGCTTAGTGTAACTTCTTTAAGGAAGCTGCTCTTTGCCCTGAAAGCTACTGCTTTCCCCATGTATTTCATACTTGTACGTATTTTCTTCCCATAGAAATTATAAATACACATTACAATCTTGCTTCCTGAATCAACCATAAACCATATGCTCAGTGGAAAGGTAAACAATATCTTTTTTAAAAATCATCTTCTTCCTTAAGGAAAATTGGAAAAGCTTTCAAAGAGGAGGGCTTTCTTGAGCTAAACAAATATCCTCTGTTTTGACTTCTCTTTAGAAGCTAACAAATGCCTAGTAGTTCCTCAATGCTTGGTATGAATAATGTTAATTTGGCAATTCTGTTTTCCTGTAGCACAAGTAACTGCTAGTTTGATATTAAAATCTCAATTTGAAACAATATCACTATAATAACACAAAATGTAAATGTTTCTTTAATTAATAAACAGGTACTTTAGTAAACATATAGTTAAAACAACCTAAAATAAACATATTGGGAAGAAGGCTTGAGTAACACTCAACATCAACAAGATCTGTACATATCTTCAAGGCAATGTAATTCAAGTTCTCTGAATCATAATGTGATTGGTATTAAAGGTGATAATAAAAACAGAAATAAACGAGTTTATACATATACAGTTACATACTGAAGGAAAAGGAAACTGTAGAACCAGTTTCGACTCTTTTAAAAAGTATTTCTGTGTGGACAAAGACATCTTCTCATTCCTTGAGAGGAGATAATAAGCTTACATTTTAATCTGTGTGTTATGGTTTGGGTATTAAGTGTGTCTCAACGGTCGTGTTGAAGGTTTGGTCACCTCATGGTGATTTTTAAGAAGTGGGACCTAAGAAGAATGTCTTTGAAGGGTATTGTAAGACCTGGCTTCTTTTTTTTTTATGATTCATTTATTTATTTTATGTATGTGAGTACACTGTCACTGTCTTCAAACACACCAAAAGAGGGCATTGGATTCCATTATAGATGGTTGCGAGTGCAGTCAGTGCTCTTAACTTCTGAGCCATCACTTCAGCTCTGGTACCTAGCTTCTTCCCATATGTATATGTATATGTACATGTACATTTACATGTATATTGTAGATAGATAAGTAGATAGATAGATAGATAGATAGATAGATAGATAGATAGATAGATAG